CAATTTGGGTTTTAACACATCCTGAATCCTGTAAAATGTAAAATTTAACAGTAGATGGACAGAGAAATTCCTGCTTCTGTTACAAACAGTGGACGCTATTATGGTCCACCGTGTCCATTTCCCACTTTGCCTTTCTAAAACATAAAATATACACATATGTAGAAGTTGCAGTAATCTGCAGTAACAACAGATGGAGGTGGCCAACAGGAAAATAATCACAGACATTATCAACACATTTACATGCACACACATATTAGCTGCCTAGATTAATCGATTCTGACGATTAAGGACCCTCAAATGTACTTGCTATGTTTTTTGCTCACTACTGACTTCGGGGCTTTAAATACATTATCTCCCTCTGCTGGTAATGCAATTTCTGCATGCAGGAATGGATTACCATTTCATGTTTTGGAGAAACAAAGCATGAAAAGGAGACGGTGGAGCTGCGCGTCTATGCCGGTTGATGTTCAAGAGTATACCAGATAAAAAACATGGAGAAAACATAACCTTTCTTGCTCAAGAGGGGTAGGGAGAATGAATGGAACAGTAGGGTTGGCAGAAATTGAGCTATTTTTTGGCACATAAGGCAAGAGTATTAATGGAAGTAGTCTCCTAGTTACTGCCACTCCTATGCTCATTAGGGAACCACTGGCTAGCACTGTAATGCCCCAGATCTGTCATAATGATGAATACAGTTATGTGATTGCAATCTGCCTTACATGCCTCCATGTTGCACTGAGGCATGTAATACAACATGAATGTTGTACTGTACTGAAATGCTTTGGTAAGGAAATACAGCATGTATACAGCAAAACCAATCAGTATTTGCAGTTGTCTCTTTGTTGTTGTGGCAACCAACACCCATGAGCATGCCTGAACTTTGTCATTGTATTGGTTTTTTTGTTTTGTTTGTTGTTTAATTAAAATATAGGCACATAGTGTGGAGTTGATTTATATATATGTGTGTGTGCGTGAATGCGTGTATATAATTCCCCCCTTGCCCTGTAGTCGGTCGGTCTTTAACCTTCAAGCTCAGGTACTCTCCCTCATGGATCTTTGTTGTTTAATCCTGGATAGTGGTTGTGACATTCACTAGTTTTAAGCCTCCTTCCTTCTGCTTAGCGTATAGTCTCAGGGTGCTGGACTTGGGGTGAAACCCTCCATGCATGGTGAGGAGCTTCTGTGTCTTGATGTCAGTGGCTTCTGTTTCCTCCTTTGGACACTTTATTATCCCAGCTCATTGCTGTAGATTCTAGTGGTATGCATCAGTAAATTGATATCTTGGTCACTCCTGGCATACAGCTTGGTGTCATCAATGTAGAGGAGGTGGCTAATGATTGCACTATTCCATAGACAATATCCATAGCCAGTCTTGTTAATGATCTCAATGAGGGGGTTGAGGGGGCTTGACTTGCTTTCAGTGTAGATAAGCATTGGCAACACTTTTTAAGCAACTTTTCCTCCAGACGTTTCCTCCATTGAGTCACTAAGGGATAAGGTTAAATAGTCCTAAAAGTTACCTCCTGTCTCCTAACCACGTTTCCTCAACCTCAGTGGACACAGCACAAGGTCACCAACACTCAGACAAACCTCCACATCAGCACTGAAGTAACAAAATTTGAAACAAACTGTTCCCTCCACAAAGAAATCATAAGTTTAAGCTGTTGCACCATCTCCTACTCTCGAATCTTGGAACGGTTATGTCATTGACAAGCCATTAACATTTCACACCCCATGTCATACCCTAGTAAACTGCCAAGTGCACAAAAAGCTGAAACAAAAAAGGCCCTCCACTTTGTGATGGAAGTTTTGTGGTTTATGCTCACATTTAGATTCAGGTGCTCAGAATTTTACTGTAGAATGTTGTATAGCCTTTTATTTCTCAGGTGAAGGACATTCATTTGTCACTATGCCTTGGCCACAGCTGATCGCATTGCAGACTTTATTAACAGAGAATTTCATGACAACTTCTATTTGTAAGAGTGACAACAACTGGTATAAATGGGCATGAGAAAAAGAGAAGTGCGATGTTCTGAGAACCTGAAAACATTTACACAAGACACAACAGTGTGACAGTGTAGAGTGCCGTGGATGTCTGCAGTACTGACATTGTCCATAAGAATAATTCTTCTTTTTACTATTCATGTACAAGTATTGAGTATATTGATCACGATACTAATCTGCCAAGGTCATGTCAAAATCCCTTAAAGCATTAAAACAGACGCTGTCATTATTTAAAATGCATTTCTCGTTCAAAATATTAATCAGACTTCTACTTTCATTATATTGTTAACTAAGAATAAAGATGATTTATTATTAGCAAGAGCATGTATAGATAAACTCTGTTTTAGCACTCTGTATTTTAACCTAAAAGGCTGGATGTTAAGACCTTTTACCTTCTCTGAAGATGTGATGACAGGTAATACACTTTCCCACCTATCTCAACAATAGAGAGATGTAGACGATGCTAGCTCACAATAGACTTATGTTATATGCATACCATTATACATACATGTTACTGAACAAGCACATACACACACCCACATAGAGTAAACGTATACATTTTGTAACTGTGTCAAAAACCCTGTCCATCACATTCACACTTAACAACTCCACTCTAAAGTAAACCTAATGCAAAAGAGTTGAAGGATGAATAACAGTAAGAAGTGAAGGGATCCAGACAATCCATCCATTCGCTACCGCTTATCCTTTTCAGGGTCGCGGGGAACGCTGGAGCCTATCCCAGCTGTCTGTAGGGCGAGAGGCGGGGTACACCCTGGACAGGTCGCCAGTCTGTCGCAGGGCCAACACACAGGGACAGACAACCATTCACACTCACATTCATTCACACCTAGTGACAATTTGGATTATCCAATTAACCTATCCCCACAAAGTGCATGTCTTTGGGAAGAAGCCGGAGTACCTGGAGGGAACCCACGCAAACACGGGGAGAACATGCAAACTCCACACAGAAAGACCCCGGCCTGATGGTGGAATTGAACTCAGGACCTTCTTGCTGTGCGGCAACAGTGCTAACCACCGTGCCACCGTGCTGCCTGGGATCCAGACAAGAATGAGTAAATCAGAAATGTGAAAAAATAACCATGACAGTGGTTGATTGGTCACTTATGGGGCACAATTATCAGCTCACAATATCTAACCCCCAACTGTTATGTGCCATCTCCTTTTTCTTCTTTTACTATGAGGAAGAGTGTTGTAATTGATCTCTTCCAGTTTCATAAGCACTCTGTGACTAAATTAATAGATTTATTATGTATTATAAGTTTAAAGCTACTAAATATTATATCAGCCCATGTGTACATATAATACACTGTTCTTGGTCTCTCACAGCTACAAGCATTATACCTCATTGTTTTTCAGCCACACGACTTGGACACGTTGAAGTAACTGAGCTGACCATGAACTCCTATAGTGTTCTAGTCAAATGTGATGTTAAAAGTTGTCTGAAATTAGTGGATATAATAGGATGATGATCTGCACTCCGTCGTTACAGTTGTTACATCATTTTGGAAAATTTATTTTTTCTTTGGAAAAATGTTTCATTTACATAGTGCTGTTAGTGTCCCCCTGTACTCTGTGATTCTTATGCCAGTGTTTGTCCTATAGCAAAGAGTTTGTAAGTGCCCTTCAATTATAGCACTTGGTATTTTCAGCAAAGCTTATGCAGTAGTTGGAGATGTGTAATATAGTACACTTGTGTACTGTGGTGTGTGATTACTTTTCTACATATCTCTAAAAACACAGATTTACTCAAAAAACAGGCCACATTGCAACTGAAATAAGTACTATGCAGTGCATCCGGAAAGTAATAACAGTGCTCCAGTTGTTTTATAGGCCTTACCTGACGTTATACCGTAGTGACACACATTAGATGACCCCACACAGTCATGCAAGTGCTTTCCTGAGGCCTCTGGCTATCATTACTGCTCCTGTATGGTCACCAGGAACTAGCTTGTCTGCAAACATGAATACCTTTGGGAATGTGGTGTACTTTGGAATAAGGCTGTAATATGACAAAACGTGGTACAAGTGAAGTGCTGGGAATTTTTTCACTGTATATTAAAATATTGATAAAAAAAATGTAATTCAGTTTTATTTATATAGAACCAAATCACAGTTGCTTCAAGGCGCTGCAATGATACAGAGAAGACAGAAAAACCCCAACAATCAGATAACTCCCTGTGAGCAAGTGCTTGGGGACAGTGGGAAGAAAAAAACTCCCTTTTAACAGGAAGAAAACTTTGGCAGAACAAGGCTCAGAGAGTGGCGGCCATCTGCCATAACCGATTTGGGGTGAAGTGAGGAAGACAGAACAAGCATGCTGTGGAAGAGAGACAGATATTAATAATAAGTAACGATTAAATGCAAAGTGGTGTATAAACACATATTTTTTAGGGCCAAGTACAATAACCTCTATTTTACCTGAATTTAGAAGCAGAAGATAACAGAGCTGACTTAAAAGAGTTGAGCATTGTGTGTTAACTGTCTATATCTATAGGAAAATCAAAAAATATTAAGATGGTAAACGGGGCATGGACACACCTATAAAAACAATAAATGCAAGAGTTTCCAGTAGATTCAAGTCAAACACACTTAAATGTGCTTCCAAAGACAAAAGCTAACTGTGGCCACAGTAATTGAAAAGAAATGGTGCTTCACTTCTGATTTGGTTATAATTGATGTTAAATTTTAGGATTTCACTTGACAAGCAGTGTTTGGCTTGCTTGTCCTGATGTAAGGTCACTGCTTGTATATGGCAAGTAACTGAGGGAGGGAGTGACAGTGATTAGTGTAGTGATACTGAAGATTTGACTTCAGTCCATATTTAGGGGAGGTGTTGAGGTTTGCTAGCTCAGTTTTTGCTGTGAGCTGTGATCTGGTCTTCCAAAAGAAATTTGCATCGATATAATATGATCTAATTTTTAAATACAGTAGATGTTTTTCATTCTTTAATTTGACTCCTCAATTCTGTTCCACAGGTGACAGCCAAAGGTTTCGCTCCACTGCTTCAGTTTGCCTACACCGCCAAGCTGGTTTTAAGTCAGGAAAACATCCATGAAGTAATTGTGTGCGCGGACGTCCTAGGTATCCATAATTTGGAGGACTCTTGCTTCCGGTTCCTTCAAGCCCAGCTTAAGAATGACAGCCAACCTAACCATAATGGCACGGTGGAATACGATGATCATATCACAACAGAGAATCCAATCTTTTCTGAGGAAATATCCTGTTATGATTCTGCAGACATAAGGCAGCAGGACAGTCATGTTCTTGCTGACCTGCCGCAGTGTCCAAAATATAAGAAATATCAGGATGCAGTTTGTGACAACAAGCACAATGTAGAGAACCATCATATTAGTAATGACATCATTTTGGTTAACCATACCTCAATTAGCCCTCTGAGCTCACACTTCACCGACAGTAGCGCTGTTCCGCAAACACGTCTTACTCCCTCCAGGATCAAAGAAGAACCCTGTTTATTTGAGGAAGAAGGAGATGAAAGGAATGACAGCAACTCAGACTTGTGTACTGAGGAGGTATTGGAGATGGAGTTAGAGGTAGAAGGGGTTCCAGTAGAAGATGTGCAATCTTCCAGCCAAGTATCATACTCTTCCTGTTTGCATTCATACCTCCAGAGAGGTGGTCTCAGCAGCATGCCAAGCACCACCATTCAGCAGCTACTAAGCAACCAACTGTCTCTCAACCATTACAAAGAACTGGTCATACAGAGACCACAAACCAAGAGGGAATCTCTGGATGAAGTTGACCTCAACACTGGCATTGCCAATGTGATACCAGCAGCACTTACTGGTATAAGTAGAAACCTTGAAAATTCGGTGTCTAAGCATGAAGGGAAGCTGGACAGACGCAGTGTCATTTTCTCTTCTGTGCCTATCAAGCAACATATGCTGTCCCATACATATGTTGATGAGGCCATCTCAACCTTGATGCAGGAGGAATCCCTTCCCTCTAGTCAGTCATTCCTTATTACCAGCTGCCCCGTTTCAACGAAAACATCAGTGGACTCTCCTACTACTTCTACATCATGCAACCAGATTTCCAGCCCCCGTGCCTCATACTCTTACCCAGAGGATGCAACCATTGGTAGCTCATCTTCTACTTCGTCCCAGTTTGACTTTTCCTCATCGTCACAGTCAGGCTCAATTTCTGGACTTCCTCACTGCCTGGCTGGGATGGTGGAGCACAGGAATCCCCACAATGAAGTAGTCCTCACTCAAGACTACACAAAGATTAAATCTGAAAAGACATTCAGTGCTAGTGGTGGGAACTCCAGTGATGAATCAGGCTCTTTCTCAGAGGGAGACAGTGAAAGTAGCACCTCTCGAATCTCTGGACCTGAGGTTAGTATGGCTCTTTATTATACTCCATTGGCTAAAATGTCAGTGTGTTGGCATTGAGGTCGTCTGGGAACTGTCTTTCTGGCATGAGAACTGCATAAAAGCAGAACTGTATATATTTGGTTTGCAGCAGAAAAGAAGAGGAATGAAAGTCAGTAGAAGCGAGACAGAATACATGTTGACAGGGAGGCAGGTGTAAAACTGACGATGTCAAGAGCAGAAGTAGAGATAGTGAAGTTTGATGAATTTAAATACCAAACTGCACAAAAAGGCAAAGAAGAGAGTGCAGGCAGGATGTCCATGGATGTGCTGCCCACATCTCCCATCTGCTGACCCAAGCTCCAGTTATGCAGGTTATGAATATATACAGTACTGAGCAAATGTTGGAGGCCAGTCCGTGACTGATGGGCCGACTGTGTGTTTTTCTAGCCAGTTATGCTTTTACTACATTGTTAGTGTGTTTGGGATGGTTTCATACTGACAAATGAAGCTTTTGCTAAACAGACTCTTTCCAGATGATATTGCCGTGTGGATCAAAACCTGACCACTGTATAAGACCCATCGGCACTGATGTTCAGTCCAGTTCTTGTATAGTGTGGCATACCTAGGTCGTTGCTCCCTATAGCCTTTACTGAGGAATGGCTTCTCTCCAGCCACCCTTCCACTGAGACCATTTACGAACAGTTTGTGAATCAGCTGAAGGGCCACATGCATCTCTGACGTCCTGTGTTAGGTCTTTTTCAAAGAAAGTGACTTTCAGATAGTATTCATTTGCCGTTTTTGAGCCTGTCACTTCTTCTTTTCTCCTCAGTTCAAACCGTGTCCAGTTTGTCCAGGTTAAACATAGCACCCCATGCCGATATAAAATATAATAGCTCGAATCACCTTGTTGGATCAAAAATTAAATTTTATAGCTGTCAAAATGGGATATCTTTCATATTTTTCCTAAGTTCAACAAAAGAAATGGGTGCAAATGGTATATTTTTGTGACAGGTTGTGAGCAAATAAGTGCCTCTTCCCATTGTCAGCGCAATAAATGATACCATACTTGAATGTTGTGCTGAGCATTGCTTGTTTGAAGAGAACAGTTTGTGCTGTTGTAGTGGACTGTTCTGATGCAATGTAAAGCTAAGAGAAAAAAGAAGTGGTCAACATACACATGCTGTCAATGCCTTAGTATTTTAAATCAGATGCATTGAAATTTGTTTATGAGTCTTTTATTTATTCAGTCAATAGATAAAAAAAATGTCAGTGTGTTTCCATGGAAAGAAGAAGAATACACAGAACTATAACCGTTTTGATAAGGCAGAGTTGCATAGAAAGGTAAGCCGATAGTCTCTGTTCTTTGTGCCTGAGCTGGTGCACAAACAGCAATACTAATACTGACATCTAGTGGATTTTATATCACAGTGCACTCCATCTGACAACATGCAACTGCAGCAATTGATACTTCTTCCATTTCTGAACACATACTAATAACAGTTATGTCTATAATAAGTCTTTCTATGTTGAAGTCTTATATTCACAGTGTAAAAATATTCAAATTTATAGTTAAGTACTTTACTGGGGGCACCACTTAATATAATGATTTATGACCAAGACCCTGAGACAGCTGAACATCTCCACTTGGGACAGCCACTCAGGTGAGAGCCATGACTCCAGAGTTAGAAATGCCATTTCTCATCTCAGTTACATCTTCTCAACAGTGCAGGCTCGTGGTTGTCACTTGGTGACACCAACAAAACCAGATCATCTGCAAAAAGCAGAGAAAAGATCAGAGTGTGTGATCCCACTGAAGTCGTAGATATAGAAAAATTGCAGATATGTATGTTAAATAATTTTCTTGTATAAATACGTGAAGAGTCTGATTTTTTTTTTTTTGATTGAGTTCACTTCATCTAATTTTAGGACAGGTTAAAATCTAATGTTTTAGGTCATATTTATGCAAAATAAAAATAAAAAAGGAAACATTTGAGGGTTCGCAGACTTCCAAACAGCATTTTATATAAACTTTATTTGTAAATGTAAATAGAAAATATCTTAAGCATAAAATATAGTTTTCTTAATTTCCATGGCAACAGTCCTGATTCATTTGGTTTAAAGTTAAATAGACTGCAATAAAGACCTGGTTTTTGTAGGTGAAGCTGCCTTTTCCTGTGGACCAGATCACCAACTTGCCACGCAATGACTTCCAGATTCTCATCAAGATGCATAAACTGAACTCAGAACAGCTGGAATTCATCCATGACATCCGCAGGCGCAGCAAAAATCGCATTGCTGCCCAGCGCTGTCGCAAGAGGAAGCTAGACTGCATCCAGAACCTGGAGAGCGAGATTCACAAACTGGTATGGTCAACTAATACACATACACACAGGTTTGTGGGTATAAAATGGAAATGTGACACTTCTTAAGCCATATTTTAATATAACATGTTCTCCAGTATCCACATTGAAAAGCTAATGCTCTACAGGTCTGTCCAGTGAGCGTGTTAACAATGTATCTAAGCCATTCACAGATTTAAAAGCAATTAAAAGTATGAACTTTTTACAGGGAATTTGTAAATATGGTGAAAGAAAACAATATGGGTGTGGGTGTAGCTCAGGAGGTACCACAGGTCATCTACTAATTGAAAGGTTGGTTGTTCAATCCCTGGCTGCTCCAGTCTGAATGCCAAATATGGGCAAGATACTAACTAAGTTGCTCTTGAGGTCTATCGGAGTATGTTATATGTTATATAGAGTAATAAATTATTTATTTTTGTATTTTTTATATTTTTTTGCCTCTTTTCTTTTTGTTTTAGGAATTCCGGTGCAATGTATTTTTCTTTTTACATGCATTTTGTAAACCCTTAGTGATCCATAAGCTTGAACTATAATTTAAATCCACAAATGCTGGTACTAACCTCACATTTATTATATTTGGCTTTTTGGAATAACAGACCTAACACAGATGCTGTAGTGACAGAATCTGTGTGAGTGCCTCCACTCACCCTCTCCATTTGTACTTTCCTGTGTGGACTAGCGATTCATGGAGGGTGTGCTCCACTTATGGGGTGATCATGCTACTCAGCTTCACTGGAAAAGTCTACTCCAAAATACTGAAAAGGAGATTATCATCATTATTAATATCTCACTACACTATGTGGTGTTGACCCTGGTCATGGAACTTTGAACTAGCTCTTGTTTCAGGGTGCATGCGAGTTTGCCCAACAAGTCCACCTCTGGTTTGTGGATTCTGTGGGAATTCTGTGGAACTCTGTGGGAGTATGTGATATCCAGCTTGCTGTTACACACCATACACCTTCAGTGACTTCCTGCTTTGCTGGCAAGTAGGCAGACTTGTTTGCAATGGAAGTTGGACTTTTCCAGGGCTCCCCTTTGTCACCAATTCTTCTCAGAATTTTAATGCAAAGCCAAGGGGTGGAAGGCTTCCACCTTAGTGGAATCTTAATTTGAAAAAAAAAAGAAAATTAAATGGCGTCACTACTAAAGACTGCCATAAGGGAAACCCTCCTTGATTTTTCTCATGTTAAGCAATAGTGGATCATTGTCAGTCCACTTTTGCAGGGGTTTTTCCTGCTGTACGTAAATATCTGTTGGAATATATTGACAGTTGTTACATTGATTCCCAGCTCCAGTGCTATTACGCCTATTAAGAAACTCACTAATATCAATCTTGTAAGCACTTGTCTGTAATGTAACAATATATGATATATAAATTTTACTAGGTCTAAACTTGACGTTGCAACTTTTATTGAAAAGCAAAGAGGCTGCTCGTGTAGACATGAGATTGAGTTAAAAGATTCTTCACAGGCTTATAACTGTAATGATCGGTGTGGGGCCAGATAGGAAGTGGGCTGCAGTTAACCTGATGAAGTGATCAGCAATGAGGGAACAGCAATGTCATGATAACCTGATGATGCTTTGTCTTATGAACCCAGGTACGTGAGAAGGAGAAGCTGCTTAGCGAGCGAAACAGGCTGAAGGTTTGTATGTCCGAGCTGTTGCAGAACCTCTCTTTCCTCTCCCAGCAAGTGTGTAGGGAGGTGCAGGGCAGCCAGCCATCACCCGACTTTGCCAGCATTGATCTCACATCCAACCCCTCATCACCTTCAACTGAGGACGGGTCTGTCCAACCCACGTCACCTGTGACCCAACAAAGTGAGGTTGCTTGTACATCTAATTTGAATGCCAATCAGGAGGGGTTAGAGGATAGGCAGCCCGCAGAGGAGATGTTGCCTTTAAGGCAGGAGGATCCTGAGCTTTCACTAGTGCTTGAATCTACTGACGAAGTATGTAGCCCCACTGTAACAGTGGATTTCTGTCAGGAGATGACTGTGAAATGCACAACAGAAGAACACAACAGACAAGACTGTGCTTAGAGTTTGGGGCTAAATGACACGATCTGTGCATACTTTGATATTTAAAGCATTTGTTTCTTTTCTGTTTTTTTAAATGAATGATACCAGTATTGTCTTTCAATATTGTTCAGCAGGTATTTTTTGGACTGGTATAAAATAAAAGCACTGGCAGCTTTCTCTCTTTCTGTGTTCCATTGGATTCTCTTCTTCTCTCATGCATTATGGGAGGCTAAACTCAGGAATTCTACAGGATGTACAGTAATATGCTTGTTAACATAAACCTGAACTTTACTTTGCAGTCCTGTCTAATCTTGACAGTTACTTATGTGCAAAATGATTTGTGGTAAATGTTTGGATATATTGTAAGTCAGTTTTCATTTTGAACCACTAAAATGTGGAAAAGTTTAGTTTAGTATTATTATTTCTATTAATGTTATTTATATAAAGTAGCTTTAAGCTGTTTTGAATATGCACCCATTTTACTTCAGTGTGTTGATGCTCCTCTAGTTATTTTACCATGAATTGGAATTTGTTAAAAAAATATTCTAATATCTATATTTTAAGGAATCCCACCTTTACTTATGGCTGGGGCATGACCAAGATGACATAAATGCACACTAAAACCACTAAAGCCATTTTTAGAGATCTTTTTGGTGTTTGGGTTAAACAATGGAGCTATAATTGGACAAGTCTGAATGTTTTTAATTTTAGTGAGAGATCAGCTAGGCCATGCTGACTTTCCTGGATATTTTTGCATGGGTATCCACACTCTCTTGCAGACCATGGCACCTTAGACAGATAATGAAATTAATGATACAAATATTCTATCTAAATGTTGTAATCAACAATTGGCTAATTGGCCTGAAAAAGAAAAACGCGTATCTTTTAAACTATTGAAGTGAATCTGATTATATAAAACGGTTTAGGCTTGACTCTATAAATTGATGCAGTAACTGTTAAGTGATGCAGGACTTTAAAGTAAAATGTTACCAAAGTTCTGTATTTATAAAATTTCACATTGGGAGAAAAACAAATAAATGAGCTGTCATACGCATTTAGCGTTTCTTATGTCAGACTTGATCTTCACTTTTTTGTGTATTTTTTTAAATCTTCTTCTTCTGTGTTTTTTTTTCAATGATTCTACTAAAGAGGCAGAGATACATTACAGAGTCAAAGCACTGTCCAGTACATCTGAGGGGGAAGATGTGGCATTGGTTACATGCTTTGTGACTTTAGCACTAAAATTAAGTATGAAGCCAACTAAGTGGTTTCCAATAGATGGTTTCCATAGGGGTTACTTTATATTTCTCCTGAA